CTTTCCCCTTCTGGAACCATGATAACAATCCAGAAAGTCTAAAATTTTCCCTAAAATTGGGCACACACGCACACAGGCACACACAGACATACACACACACACACACACAGACACACACACACACACACACACACACACACACGCCTTGCTTGCTCCCTCTTCCTTCCTTCTACCTCCTTTTTTCAAGTTCAGAGTACTCCAAATATTTAAGCCTTTTTAAGTGGTCCCGGGCAGAGAGTCAAAGGCTGCTCTATTGGAGAATGTGGTTATAATTAGATAATTAATGGGGGGTGGGGGAGGGAGCTAAATGGAAGCCTTCCTCAGTGGGAGGAAATAATTAAACAGCTTTTGATATCTGAGCCGAGCCGGCCCACCAGGGGAAGCACAGGATAGTCCACGGAAAGCACAGAGTGGCAGGGGCTGTCCCAACAGGGCAGGTTTTGGGGTTGGCTTCATCTGCCGCAGGAGCCCGGGGCTCAGGCAGAGGCAAGCGGCAGGTTCATCAGTCTTCTTGACTGAGAGCCTCCCCGCCTAACCCCCTGATGTCGCCTTGACCCCACACGTCTGTAGACGCGGGCAAATGTGAAACATCTGGGCTCAAGATGGCCTCGCCACTGAAGGGCTACCCGGCCCCGTGCCTGGGCCTCCTGTGGCTCACTCCGGCCGGCTCTGCATGGCCCCAGCCGGCTGCAGAGCTGCCGCAGCTGGACTGAGAGCTCAGTGGTCCCCCGAAACAGATCACCCGGTACCTCGTGCGGCCAAAGGAAGGCACGCGGTGCTGGCTGTGGAGTGTCTGTCTGTCCATGGCTGCTCTTCCATCCTCCCTCTCTCTCCCTCACTCTTTTTTTCTTCCACACGCACACCCATCACATCCCAGCATGTACTGAGTGTCTGGCGTGTGCAAGGAACGGCACTTGTCGCCGAAAAGGCTGAGATGAATCAGCGAGTCTGACAGCGGAAGAAACACGTATATAAACTAGACACTGAAAACTGTCTCAAGGAAAGCACAGGCCAGATGCTGCTGCAATGGAGGTTTAGCTGGACTGTCAGAAAGAGCACACTGTGTGCATGTGCACATCACATGCACACACACACATTCGTGCATACACATATGCACACACACATGCACATGCATACACATGTATACACACATGCGTACATACACATGCATGTGCACACACATGTATACTCACATGCACACACATGCATAAGCACGCATATACACACATACATATGTACATACACAGGAATAAACACACAAATGTATGCATATACACACATATGCACACAACACATCTGGATTTCTCACATGGTGCCCCAAGAAGTGGAAGAGGAAGTGACCACAACCATGGGTGTGGTCATCATCTGCAACACAAGGAAATCCAGGGTTAAGGTTAACTGACCCCTTTGCCCCTAGAATGAGAACTTTTGGCTCCGCTGGACCTCAAGGCCTTCCAGTTTGCTCAGATTGCTCAGTCCCTGTCAGTCTGCTCCTGCGGCCCTGCTTCCATCTCCCACACGACACCCTGCTGTCCCTAAAGCAGTGACCCTCTCAACTCCTGATTCCCGTTCCACAGAGGCTGGGGAAGTGGCCAGCTGGGTAGAAGCTGGGGTGCCATCAGCCCACACGGGTCCCATTGCTCATCCCACTTGGGGGCTGTTTGGGCATCTAGAGAGCCCTGTCTTCCAGCTGGGGCTCTTCCCATCCTGGATGCATCTGGACACAACTTTCTGAGCTGCCCACACCAACCACCAACGGGTGGCTGGAGAGAGAAAGCAAACAACATCGTCAGTCTAAGAAACTACCGAAGACGACACATCATGCATGTGGGGGCTTCCATGAGGAGCGCCTGCTAAGTGGCCCCAGGGAGGGAGGTGGTCTGCTCTGAGAGAGAAAGAGCAGGTTGGAGACTATCAAAAAAGACTCTCGGAAGCCCCAGAAAGCTTAGGGGTGAAGTGATTTTAATCAAGGAGGTAATGAATAGGAAAGTAGACGCTGAGGAGCAAGTTCTGAGGTCTGACACTGCTGGGGAGCCTCTCTGTCCTGGAGTCAGGTGTCAGCCATTGAGGAGAGAGATCAGGAATATCCTCTCAGCCAACAAATAGCAAAGTCTTCAGATTAAAGGGGGACTTGGGTCTGGAAGGAAAACTGAACCAGGCCACAGAGAAACTTCTGGATTCCGAGACTAAGAAGAAACCTATGGGAATTCGGACCCAAAAAGGAACCAGGCCAGCCAGACTCACAGGGGTTTCCTCCTGTGTCCCCACCTGACAATGATTCTAGTTCTGTCTGGACGGGAAAAGGAAGGCACTAGGGCGGCTGAAAGTCTCGGCTATGGGATCGACAGGAACCTGCTTGGTGTCCACCTTCTGTCCCCACAAGTCTGACAAGAGACAGTACATGTACCCCCACTGCTAAATGGAAGGTGGGGAGAGGGGGGAGCTGTAGAGTCGTTGTGGGCTGGGCTGGAGACTGACAGGCTCTGGCGCTGCCTCTTGGGTTGGGGTACCTGTGGGTGCTGACAACACTGATTGTGTCTTTGAGAGGTGGCGGCAGGAAATGCCGTGAGCAGGTGCTCGGGGTGGGTGGTCCATCTGTGAGCCGCCCATCCCCATTATAGCATTGCCCGGGCTGCCCTGAAATTTGCAAGCTTCCTGCATCCCAAGTCCTGGGATTACAAGTGTGAGCCGCCACTCCCAGAAGGTCAGTCTCTTAATTGTTGCAAAACTCTGTCTACCAAACTGAAAACCTCAGGAAAACAGGGTGGACCCAGGGCTAACTGCCAGCTAAATGACCACCTACCAAAGGTCTGTACGGACCCATGTGAACAGCTAACCCTGGTTCACAGTGGATTTAACAGACACCAAAGGACAGTAGCTGCTACTTTTGTGACTTCAACAATTTCAGAATGTAAGCAAGAGGGTACATTTCCTGGCTTTTTTTTTTTTAATTCATGCCTGTTTATTTTAGAGCCATTTTTGGTTGATAGCATGGAGATTTCCCATCTACACTCTGTACTCATTCAGTTACAGCCTCCCTGCCACAAAACAGCAACAGAGCCAGACACCAGTGCAATGGTACAAGAACCAGAGGGAGAAACACTCACCCGTGCATCTGAATGAAAAACCCCAGACATCAGCAAACCAGGTTGGGCTTTTGTTGCTTTGGTTAATGTTGGAGGTAGGGTCTCAGCACGTGGCTCCTCCTACCTCAGTCTTCCAAATGCTGGGATTACAAGTGTCAGCCTCAGTGGTGTTTTTAAGAATCAATTCCAAATGACCAAAAATGTTAAATTCCGGAATTCAGAATGAATACAAGCCACAGGACCTGAGGAAGGGGGAGCAGTGGAAGTACCTTCATCGAGATAGGGTGTCAGCTCTACAGCCAGACCCTGGGCTAAACCCCAGCATCTACCCAAGAGTGGAGAGGCCTTGGGGATGTGGTTCACCTTCTCTGGGCAAAGACACCAAGCCGGAGTAATGATTGGCTCTACTGTGTGGGAGCTCTGAGGGTCATGGGGACATTTCCAGCTCAGGCTGGCCATGTTGCCACGACGGTGAAAGTCTGGAGGGGAGGAGGCTATCTCCTTCCCTAGCTGGGGCCCTACACCAGCTGTGGTAGTTTGAATGAGAATGATTCCTATATTTGACCTTTAGTGCCTCCCCTCCTCCTTGGTGGAACTGTTTGGGAAGGATTAGGAGGTGTGGCCTTTGTTGGAGAACATGTGTCACTGAGGGTGGGCTTTGATGTTTCAAAAGCTCATGCCAGATCCTCTCTCTCTTTCTCTCTCTCTCTCTCTCTCTCTCTCTCTCTCTCTCTCCTACTTTCTCTCCTCCCTCTCCCTTTCTGCTTACTGCTTGTAGATCAGGATGTAAAGCTCTCAGCTACTGCCCCAATGCCATGCCAGTCTGCTTCCCACCACGATGACCATGGACTATGAAACTGTCAACAAGTCCCCAGCTCAATGCTTTCTTCTAAGAGTTGTCTTGGCCATGGTGTCTCATCACAGCCCTAGAACAGTAATCAAGACACCTGCCAACAGCACCTGGTTTGCACTTAGTAGCGGTCAAGAGAGGGAAGCAGTGAAGAGACTAGAGAGGACTTAGCAGCTCCCAGAGCCTAGAACAGGGCCTCCCACCATGCCTGGTGAGCAGTGGCTTCCTATCACAGGAGGATGGCAGGCCTGGACCAGGGTGGGCTGAGAACAGCTTGTGTAGAGGCATGAGTAACGGTGGAAAGACAAGCTTGACTGTGCCAGTGGCAGCTTCATGCTTGAGGCAGAGCAGTGGACACAAATCCCGTCTTCTGACCTCATACTCCATATTGTAGGGAGCCAAAAGGAGCTGCAGAAAACTCAGCGTCCCCTACCACAGAAGGACAGTTGGTGAAGACCAGGCTGACATTACAAGGCTGAGAGAAGACACTGCTGACCCCGCCCACAATCTAGCCCTATCCCCTACCACCTGAGGGGCCCCCCAAGGTCCCAAGACCAGGAGTCTGTGCTGGCATGTGTGCCTCCTCAAAGCTGGTAGTCAGAGTGCCTTTCCCACCTTGACAGAGAAGCAGAAGGAGTCCTGGGCAGGAGGCACCTGCCCACCCCACCAAGCAGCCGCAGGACCCAGGCTGGCACATTATACTCATAGTGAGCTGCCTGGGTTTGGATTCTGCTACTCAGAGTGTGAGTGACCCAGGAGCCCCTCAGCTGTCACTTGGGATCTCAGACCCATACCTGCAAAGACAGAAGTTCCCAGCTCTTCTAGGCTGCTTTTGAGCAGGCGCAGTTTGGCTATTCACATCCAGAAGCAGCCCGGCCCTGTTCAGAGGTGAACTGAGACTGAGACAGCCCAT